AAGTGCCGTAAATACCGAGTAAAACGGATGTGCTCTTAACATGGTTTTAAGCAAGTGTAGTTGGTAGGGGGGGGGGCGCCTACTACTACTACTACTACTACTACTACTACTACTACTAGTACTACCACCACTACCACTACCACTACCACTACTACTACTACTACTACTACTACTACTACTACTATTAATAACTACTACTACTACTACTACTACTACTACTACTACTACTAACTACTACTACTACTACCTACTACTACTACTACTACTACTACTACTACTGCCTCTACTGCCTCCACTGCGGCTCATACTCCTTCGACTCGCGTTCCTGCCAGCTTTATGCCTGAAGCCGACGCTGACGTCCTTTCCTGTGACGCCTGCGGGGTCGGTCTACGGCAATCTGACCAAAGGCGGTCTGAAGCGGGAGTCCTCTCGGTTTCAGATCAACAACCCTGAACCCCATCCCGAAACCCTTGCTTCCTAAATCGAACTTCGAACACCGCGCAGATGAACCCGTACGAAACCATACTAAACCCCGTGCTGCAGGTGGAGGTAGGACTGCAGCTTACAAAGCCCACTCTGCATTCTTAAAATCTTGGAGCCTTCAACCTCCTCGTGATAGAGTTTAAGCGTCTGGTACCACGCAGCCAAGCCGCGGCAACGACAAGAATACCTACGATCACTTTCGGAGCCTCACTGAAAGGGCCTAGGCCTTGAACCTCAAGCCTTGAGTGTCAAAAGAGCAGAGGCTTTGGTGTTTAGGGTTTGGGGTTTAGGGGAACTAGCGCCCCAACCAGCCTTGCGTCACGTCGTAGAGTGCCACTTCGTTCATTCGTGATCCAAGGGCCTCTGTGATAATTTGGCTTGATCTGGCAGACGGGAGTGCTGGAGTTGGGGTCCAACGTTCAGGCTTTAAAGATTGCGTTTGTGGTGTAGGGTCTAGGCTTCTGTGAGTTTGGGGGGATTAGGGTCAGTGATTGTGGGAACGGCAGCTCCAGCATCCAAGCTTGGGGAATCGTAAAAGGTACGCGGCGCCGGGTACTTCCCTCGTTGGGGGAGTGTTGTCAGGAGAAGCGATCCTTGTGGACTTGAAAAGTGTCCTGAAAATCATAATTAATGTAGGAACCTGACAAGGAAACCCTGGCCTCACAAGAATACATATACAGAACCCTAATAAGGACCCAGAGTTTCTTAATCAGATTTCTATACTACGGTTATCGTAGTTGACGAACCCTAAGGTATAGTAGTACTCCTTACACAAGCCCCTACATTACCGGCAAGGCTCGTTGGGCTCATTCTGGAAGAACGACCTACGACCAACAATGCACAAACATGCAAGCCAAATCCCTCATGATGGAACATCCATAGAAGAATACCCGACAGTAGAAACACCGAACCCCTCCACACTGCTGAGCCCTAGGCCTTAAACCCCTAAACCGTGGCCTCTCCACCCTAAACCCTGCGCCCCGCGAACTGCCGAGCTGAGGTAAGCACCGCAAAGACCCCCGGAGAGGAAGCGAAGTCTGCTGACCTTCCAGGTTTAGGGTTTAGGCGGTTTAGGGCTTTAGGGTTAGAGTTTCGGGGCTTAGGGTTTATAGGGCCTGAGCTTACATCCTAAAAACCCCGAAGGCCTAAACGCCAAGTCCCATACATCTCCGTGAAGTGACTCTAAACCAGAATCCCAAGCCTTCAACCCCAAAGGCCCTGTAAAAAAAAACTATAAAGCCCCAACACCCCTAAACCCTCAACCCCAAACAGCATGCACGACAGCGGCAGCCTCATGGAGAGAATTCCAGCTCTTGTGGACACCTTCAGATCACTGGGTTCTGTCTTAATCTGCAGGTTCGGAAAGGTTAGGGTCTAGGGTTTAGGTTTAGGGTTTAAGGACAAGTAGTGCTGGGACTCCCTATACATTGCTCTTACGGACCGAGTTGAAGGGACACTCCACACCCGGAAGAACCAGATGTAGGATTTTGGATTTCCGTGTCTTCTGATAGGGAGTTACAAGATGTTGAAAGATGGGGTGCGTGAAATGAAGCTTGAAGCTTGAGTAGATTTCGATTTCAACAGCCACCAAAAATATGTGTAGCTAGGTTCCGTATTCAGCAATGAGGGACAGAGGGAAACTAACAAGAATCTCAAGTCGGCACCTAGTGGTGGACACTGCAGCACTCGTCGAAAGCGCCGCTATGAAAAGCTACCAACGGCAAACATTAACCCTAGCACTGTCGGAAGACTACGCATGGAAACTTGAACAGCCAAGTACGGAGAGAAGTGTCGAGTTCTGTTTCGAAGGTCGACGAGTGTCGAGCCGTTCTCACCCTGATCCCTTCAAGAATCCCCAACTTGGGTTTCATGGCAAAAAACGGCGTATTCTGATATGCTACGAGGCTTTCTCCCTCACTCTAAATGCTGAAATTTGAATTGCGAGAGGTCTTTACAGAGAAAGCCAACAACTATTGATGTTCCCTGGGGTTCCGTAGTATGGTTATACTATGTTCTACTGTAAGATACCCCGAAAGCCGGAACCATGTTAGGGTTTAGAGTACAATGAGGCTTTACGGAAAGAAAAGTTAAGGGTCTGGCGAGGGTTAGGCCCTAAATTCGATACCCCAAAACCTCGTGGCGAGGCCTGCAGGGTTCCCGGAACGAGACCCGACGCATGCAGCCACCCACATGAGGCCAACAATGTAACACACCAACCCGGATACGGGGGCTGAACAAGAAACCTCGTGTGCTTATCAATGATACTACAACTGTAAGACACTCTGAAACAAGCCCTTTAGACCGAAGCATATAAACTCGAGTCTACTTGTCCTGAAATATCTAAGCAACATCCTGTAAGAATTAAAACAGCGTGCCCCAAGATCCACAACTCCAGACCTAAAGATCGTAAAACCGGAAACCCGAAAGCATCAATCTCAACAGTAGTGACGACCGAGGCTCATAACCCATGCCCTCTCGAACCAGAGCTCGAATATAAAGGCCTTGAAAACTAGAATAGGGCTTTGGGTACATTACAGCTTTTGAGTACTATTGTTAACTATGGCGAACATTGCATGTTGAAGTTGCCTGCATCAGTGTAAAGGCAATAACGACTCCTGGCCAGGATTCGGTAAACGCTAACTTACTGCTTACTGTCATTCCATACCAATGCTGTAAGCCTCATTCCTAAGCTATATACTGTAGGGGCCTCAAGTAGAAGAGAGTTTTGGGGTTGACATACCAAAACCACATGAAGGAACCTTTGAAGAATACTTTTACTAGTTGGTGAAGGTTCTATATTAAGTAGTTCGGACGTTCAGGAGTCGCCAATGCAACCGAGCCTTCCAATGTTTCCAGGGTCGAAGGAAACGCAGGTCGTAGACGACCAAGCCTCCACCTCAGGCACGAACGAACCACCCTAGGGTTTGGGGGCGTTTACGGCTTAGCGTTTGATCAGGGGTGATAGTCATACTCCAGACATGCAACCGTTCATGCATACATTCACACACACACATGTATATATATATATATATGTATAAATAAATCAATAAGTATAATATATATATATATA